GGGTTGGACCCAGGAGTGAAGCTGGGCAGGGAGGGAGTGCAAATCACGAACAGCCGCTCAGAGCCTCTGCGTGTGGGTGTCATTCCCATTATCCTCCCCAGCACTGCTTTGTAACATTTGACTGCATTAAATGCTCAGCCAGGAAAATGAAATTTATTTAGAAGGCTCAGGTATTTCACATCTAGGGCAGGCAATGCTGCTCTACATTTACCAAGTCAACAGCTCATTTTTGCTGTTGGGTGGATTGTAGATCTTATGACAGAAGCAAGTGAAAATGCTACGGGCTATAAACTTTCACCTTATTGGCAAAACGTCTATTATGCAGCTAAAAACATCTAGTTAATAGGCACTGCCCTTCAACAATTGGTAGCAACAGAGTCTCAGGCGGTGATGGCAATGACATTATATCTCTTTCATCACGCGCACGTTCTTTGTATCGCCAATTACTGGCCCTACATTCACTCCTGGCCTCAGATACTGCAGAATGAAGAGGTTCTTCCCATGGTGCTGTTGTCACCCAAATCACCTGGGGTCCTCAACAGACTTCCCTCCAGAGGTTTCTGCCTGTTCTTTTAGGATCTCCAGGCTTCATTGGTGGGGAAGACATCTGATTCTAGGAAATAGGGAAAATCATAAGAAGTTAAATCTGGGGGACAAGGCACTAATCAAGCCAGGAGATTCCAGCTGGGTCATTCACCAGATATTTGCTGGGCGTGTCTGCAGGCCAGGCTCTGAGCTGCGGGCTGGGAATGCTGACACTCACAGGACCTCGTTCCTGCCCTCCCAGGACTTACAGCCCTCCAGAGCAGACTTCTCAGGTGGGAACTCCGAGATAGAGCTGTAATGCCTACGGGCTGTGGCAGCATTTTAGGAGTAAGGAAGATGTCCCACCCCCCGGGGGAGGGGGGGAAGTGGGCAGCTCTCAGATGCATACACATGTTCTGATGTTTGTTTCAAACTGGTCCTGTTCCTCTCTTCAGGCAAGTTTCGATGCAGACCTAAGTCTGCAGCTTTAAGGAACCGCAATTTGTTATTACCCTAAATCCGGTAGAGGTTTCGGATCGGGTGTAGGAAATTTTCACAAGAACCTAAATTTCACGTCGATTTGTGATGGATTAGCATACCAAAATTGGCATAAAGTGCACTTAATGGATGCATTACTGCAGAAGGGATCTAACCAGAGCATTTCTAAATTTATGAAATTGAAATGCACTTCAGGTTACCGAGCAGGCTAAATTTGTCAAAGTCACAGGGCTGGAGGCAGGTCGTTGCTGGTGGCAGAGCCCCTGAAACACATTCGAGAATCTGTGCACTGGTCCCACGGGCCCCTCACACCCAGGTGCAGCCCCTCCCCACACAAGCAACTCCCAGCAGCCCTCTACCCCTGCAGTCCCCTTGGAAACCACCTCAAATGTGGGAACAAGGTGAAAGTGAATTGAAACTTCATCCCCGTCTCTGCTGAAGTGCTAATTGAAAAAGGAGGCATTAGCTGATAACTAGGGCCTCAGGCATCTAAAATGGTTTCTCTTTCAGGGGCTTTTGCATTCTAGGAGGACGCACTTGGAAGACCCCACATGCTCCCGTCTTCAGTGCTCCAAAGGTGGAATGATCAATGGCAAGGCTGCTGTTGTTGAGCTGGGGCCTAACATGAGCAGTGCTCAAGGCCTGGCCTGTCTCCTTTCCTCCCGAGTGGCCCACTGTCCCCACTTTCAAACTGGGCCAGTTCCCAGAACTGTGATTCTCATCCCTTAGTCTCCGGACAAGGGACTTCCCACAGCAATTCCTTTTGAATTCATAGCTCTGGAAAATGCCAGGCTATAGTTTTCAAGGTCCTTCTCCCTCCAGTTGGAGACACTGAAGGCCAGAGAAGGGCTCCAGGCCGCACAGACAGCTGGTGTCAGGAGCAGGAGCTGGGTCTTCTGAGCCTCAGTATTTCCCAAGTGCTTAGCACATCCCTGGCATGGAGACTGGCCCAAGCTGTATTCACCCCTCTACTTGGTTCTCACTTCACTTTCCCATCAGGCGTGCCTTCCATTAACTTGAATTCATCGGCGTTAGCTCACACGAATGGTAGAGGAGGCGATTTTGGTTCTTTTCCTATGTTGTTTGGTTTCTGAACCTCTGTCTCCTTGCCTGAGAAAAGAGGATAAGTAATGTTGGCTCCCATTTGGCTCACGAGGCCGTTGTGAGGGTCAAATGATATAGCATGGGAATGTGCTTAGCAGAGTGCTTATCACACGGTGGGGCTCCATAGGTCCCCATCCCGAGGAGGGGATGGAGACTTAGCCATCTTAGTGGCTCCAGCATTCACTCCAGTGTGTGGCAAAGAGCAGGTGTTCACGGGATGGCTGCTGAATGGATGAGGGAGTGAATGAATGTCACTTGGTCACCATGGCAGGTCCCTGGCCTTCCAGTTCCTGATGCTCTTGCACTGTCTTGTATATAGAATCTTTATTCGAGCAATACTTGTTCACCGATTCAATTTTTCAGTTAAAAAAGTTATTATGTGATTGTTACGCACGAAATTAGCTTTCAGTAATGTTGATAGCTAATCACAGCAAATATTTCTGAGCTCTTACGATGTCCCGAGAATTGTGCTTCGTGTTTTACAAACATTTGGTCATGAATCTTCACACAACCCCACCGAGGGAATGTATCAGTCAGCTACGTAACAACCTCTGGCATTCGGTGGCTTACAACGAGCATTTCCCGCCCTTGCTCATGTGTGTGTAGGTTGGCTGAGCCGGTGCGGTGACCGGCTGTAGGTGGGTGAGTTCAGGTCTGCTCCCTGTGTGTTCATTCTGGAGCCGTGAGGCAAGAGGCTGCAGCTTCTTGTGATATCTTCTCATTACGAGCCACCAGAGCACAAGAGAGCAAGCTCAGCCCCGCAACATGTTTCAATCTTCTCATTCAGTAACATTCTCTAAAATCTCATCGTCTAAAGCAAGGCATATGGCCGAGTCCGAAATCAAGGAATGGGGAAAAATACTGCATGCTCTTTGAGGCTGTGACAAGGGTGTAGAAGTCTGATACCCCCATGGGATCAGTAATTCGACTGACCACTGGTAGGTGCTATCATCAGTCCCAACTGAGGCGCGGAAAGTGACAGGCACTCCGCTAGTTGGGTGTCAGATGAGGTATGGTTTGAACCAGGGCAATTTAACTCCAGAATTATGGAGGGGTGTACACATGGAGGAGGGGATATTTGTTTTCTTAAATGATCTTCATTTATCCACCCATTATCTGCCGGTGTCATGTGGGCCCCAACCTCTCTCACACATCCAACGGTCTACCCATCTGCTCATTCACACACACCTGGCATTTGGGTGTTCTCTCAACCCTCCAGAATAACAGGTGAAGTGCAATTCTTGGGTAATTTTGTGAAATGAACATTAAGGGCGAAAATTGCCCTCCAGTTAATCTCAGGCACGTGCATAAATACCTTTGGAAAGTCCCTGGTGGAATTAGTATCAAAGCGGTACCGTGATTTTACTTAAAAACAATTTGCTCCGTGTCAACAGTGATTTCTGACGCCTGAATTTGAAAGTGATCAGGGTGGGCCCAGCGCCATCTCCATAACGGGGTCATGTGTTTACTTGGAGGGAGGAGAGGAAAGATCGAGGTATGTGTGGCGTGGAATAATGTTCCACACAGCCTTACAGGAGGGGATTTCCTCCTCCGTGTTTCCATAGAACCTTCCCTGTGTTTGTTTAAGCCCATTGCACACTCTGGTCTGACAGCTGCCTGGCCCAGGGCCTCCCTGTACAACTAACCCTCTTTAATAGCACCCTGCACTGTGTCCCCTGATGCAATTACTTGAGTATATAAACTTCACTGAAAGGCAGGCTTTTCTTGGGAGCTCATAAATAAGCCACAAAGCCACAACGTGTATAAGACCTTGAAAAATGGCATCATCATCTATTGGGAATTGTGAACCCTGCAAAAAGCAGCTCATTGTATTTTCAGAAAAAGGTTTTTGTTTAAAAAAATAATAATGAACACAAGTCACCAAGTGGAGTCTATATGGAGAGAGCAACGCCGTCTGAGATTCTGAGGCTGGTCTCTTGCATCAATCTTTCTTCGTAGATTTTATGTAAGGGGCATTTATTTGCAGGAAAACAAGACACAGTTTTGAAGAACCCCCCTCTCGTCCAGCTTCTCATCTGCAGTTATAATTTTCTGATTGTGACCTCTGCATTAGCTGCCATGGACGCTGAGCACAAGTTTATGACCTCAAGGCAGGCTATAGTTTCTGGGGGGTGTGATGAAGCCTCGGGCAATATAGATCAGATTTTCAGAACCAGAGGAAAGAGGAGAAAGGAAGCCCCCCTCTGCCGAGGGCCACCACCCTGCAGCACTTAGGAAACATTCTCAGCTTCACTTCTGGCTGCTCTGAGCACGAGGATGCTGGACCGTGGCCATGGGGGACATGAGCAGGCAAAAGGCTGTGTGGTTGAAGACAAAGATTTTTTTTTCTGTCCCTTGGACCCGTTTCCTGAGAGGCTGGGCTTGGTGCTCCAAGCGCCCCTTGAGCTGAGTCTTCCAAAATCCAGTGTCTTTTCTTTAACTGATGGCATCTTTGGTCAAGAGGCAGGGAGTCGACCACTGGTGCCATCTCCTTGGCCTCGGACAGCCCAGGTGGTTTTCCGGAGCGGGTGCCTCCGGGCCACTGCGGCAGGGCCCCGGGTCCCGCGGAGCCTGCCCCTCCCGGCAGAAGCAAACTGGCTGGGCCAAAGAGCCGGGCAGAGCCTTCGCTGGCTGCGAAAACAAAACAGAGATCGCAGAACCCACCAGCGCCGTGGCCTTGCATATCAATGTATGGGCTTGCTGCAGACCGCCAAGTTCGTTAAAAATGTCTCCGGCAGAGCGTCACTGGCAGACTTGAGGGGTTTCGGTTTGCTTTCTATTCAGAATCACCGCATCACACAAACCTTGTTTACTTGGAAGGGGAGGGGGTTGGGGACCAAACCCACCGCGCGGCGCACACGCCTTGATCTCACATTCCAGACTCGAGCTGATGTGTGTCAGCGCGACATGGGGCGGGGGGGGGGAGGGTTCTCTTCGGAGGTTTCATTCGCCATCTGCACGTCACTCCCAAACTTTTCCTTGCTGCGCTCGGGGAGTCAGGTTGACGCGTCCTGGATGCGGGGCTTGAGGCGCGGGGCTGGGCGCGCTCCCGCGGAGCCGGAGCCGCAGAGGCTCCGGGGTTGGACTCGGGCTTCTCAGGTACAAGTTGGGTGCCAGGCGCGGGGGTGGGGGCGGCGAGGAGCGGCGGCGCCCCTCCGCGTTCCGGCCCGGCAGCGCGGGCAGCGGCGGGGCTGGGCGTAGGGAGTCCGGGCCGGCGGAGGCTGCGCGCCCCCTCACTCCCCGCGGCCCTCCCGGCGCTGTGGCGGCGGCGGCGGCGGCGGCCCAGGCAGACAATGAACTTGCGAGCGCGCCGAGCCGAGGCAGGTTTGAGCTCCGCGTCCCTCGGCCCAGGCTCCCCGAGGCCCCCCGCGGACACCAGCGGGAGCGGCCCCTCGCCACCGGTCCCGGCCACCTCCGGGCGCCCCACGCGCCGGGGACCCCGCGGGAAGGGCTGCCCGCCGGCGACGCCGGGGCTCGCATGCTCCCTCCCTGGCTCGAGAGAATGCAGCGGGAGCTCGGGGACTGGGGACCAGGAGAAGGGGTGGTGGCGCTGCGGACAGCCGGAGGCCGGCGGGGGGCGCACGCCGCGGGGTACGCACGGGCGGGCTGCCCAGAAGAACGGCCCCAGGAGTCGGAATCGGGGCGCCCCCGCGCCGCCCCGCTCTGGAAGCTGCAGGCGGAGGACGGAAGGACAGACACGCCGGTGCTTTCACCGTGTGAGCGCGCCTTGGGGGTTTGGGGGGGGCGGGAATTCCCCCAGCCAGATGCTTTGCTCCCCCGCGCACTTCGGGGAAGTTTCCAGGCGCAGCCCCGGGCAGGTAAGCGGGCATGCGTCTCTCTCTCTCTCCCCGACTCCGGCTGGGAGCCACCTCCCGACCTCCCGCTCCGGTCCCGCGGCCGCTTTGGGTGGAGGAGGCGGGGGGCGGGGCGGGGGCAGGCACCGACGCCTGTGGGACCCGGTTCCGGGAGGGGACACCGCGGGGGCGGGCGTGGGAGGAGACGGGGGCGCGGCCGGGCCCGGAGCGGCCTGAACTTTTGCTCCCCGCCCCCTCCTCCTTCCTCTCGGCCCTCCGCCCCCTGCTCCCTCCCGGCTGCCGGCCGTGGCTCTGGAGGCGGTGGGACTCGGGAGTTGCCGGCGCTTCTCGGCGGTGGCGTCCCCGGCTGGCTGGGCGCGGCGAGCGGAGCGCGGCAGGTCTGAACTGCGCGGCGACGGCGGCGGTGGCGGCGGTGGCGGCGGCGGCGGCGGCGGGGAGCAGGGGCTGCGGGGCGGCGAAGCTGTGGGGAGCCGGGGAGGCAGCGGCCCCCGTGCGGGGGCGACGCTGGCGATCGTGCTGGAGCGCGCGGGTGTCGGGGTGTGTGTGCGGGTGGAGAGGACGCGTGGCGCAGTTGGCCCTCTTGGAGCCCCCGGGAATGGCGGGATGGAGGCGCCCGGGTGAAGGGAACCTCGCCTTTGGGGAATGAATGAAGAGCTGTGAAAGCGCCTTCCGACTCCTCCGGGCGAATGGATTGGCCGGCGTGCGCGCGCGTGTGTGCGTGTGTGTTTAGGATTCGGAGGCGCCTGGGTCCTGGGTGCGGCTGCTTGGCCGCCCCGTCGCGGCCCTGGTGCCCACGTTGCCCGCCCGCCACGCGCCCTGGCTCGGCCCTAGCGGCTGGAGAGGCCGGCGGAGACACTGAAGGCTGGGGCTCGGTTGCCGGCTGCTGGCGGCTGGACGTCTGCGCCTCGCGTAGGGAGGTTCGAGAAGCAGGCGGCAAGGCTGGGGCTGAGGCTAGCTCCAGGGCGCCGGGGGGCATTTTCCCGTTCCCCGCCTACGCTGGGTGAGTTAATGGCACGGAGTTTGGGGAATGAAGTTGTATTCTCAGGAAGCCCCAGGACGCCCCGTGAAGGGATTTGGCACACCGTTCAGTGAAATTGAGCAGGGGGTTCTAGGTTCTAGGCTCCTTTGTAGGGCCCCCAGCCCCTCTTTATCAGACGCGGTTGCTGTGAGGGCAGCCACCCAGCGACGGAGCAGAAAGTCACCTGGAGGGCATCTGCACCCCCTGCGGGGCCCAGGAGGAAACTGAGGTCTGGAGATTTGCCGGAAGTTCCTCTAGGACCTTCCCACACGGCTCTCCCTCCGAGCTTTCCTGCCCACCCCTTGCAGAATCAGGAATCCTCCCTTACAGAACATGGTACTTATTAATTTTACAAACTGCATGTTGAATCAGGATGTTTTAATTGGTACCTAAATGTGTACACGTCATACATGATTTTGCTTAAAATAGCATGTGAATAAAAATATCTTTTAATTAGGTAGTTTTTATCAAATAAGTTTTTCTCTACAGTACTCTTGGAAGACTGGCAGGAAAATGTTCTTCTTGCTTCTTCCTGGATGGGGAGCGTGAGCCAGCAAGGTGAGGCCGCTTGCCATGGTCTCCCTCTCAGTGTATAATTCGATCCAGAAGTGGAGCTGTGGGTCTAGACATCCCTTCAAGGTCTAGCTCCCCAGGAGAACCGTCTCTAGGGCCCTGGGAAGGAAATTCAACAATGTCTGTCTTTTCTCTTCGGATAATTGCATGACTGCAGTGAGCTAGCTTGTGGCTGAGGCAAGCAGCATTAATTCACCCAGGATATGGGGGGGGAGGGTGTGGGAGGGGGTCAGGTCTGTCCAGAGTGGGTTACACCTAGGCCTTGCTTTTCTTTGATGACTAGAGCTTGTGACGCCTGAACTGCGGCCTTGGCCGCGGACCCCAGCACTGTCACCGTGGCATCTCTGTGGACTGCCTTCTGTACCTTTCTCTCCTCTGTCGCTGCTGGCCCTGGCCAGGAGAGGAGAGGCATTTGGTTTTCCAATGCCAGAAAGAGAGAAGATTAATCTCTGCATCTGGAAGAGGCAACATTTGCAGGGGAGGTTAGGAAGTGGATTGTGCTTATTTGGCGTTTGGAGAAGAGCATGAAAGAAACTCCAGATTAACCAGTTGGGCCACGGGAACCTCAGGCCCTTTGAACCTGCACTGTCAGAAGCTTTAGATTAGTACTGGGTTGTGATTAGACTGTGGTTGTCCAAGGCCATCTAAGGCCCAGTCGGAAATTGCCCTTGCAAGCATAGGGAGAGAGGGAGGGGAGGGAGATGCTGGAGCTACCCCGAATAGGTGAACCCATGCCCCACCTATAAGGGGCAACTTTGACTCAGCCTCAGCCAGTTGGAGAAAAACAGACTTGCAGGTCTTGTTAATTTTCAAGAGAATTCTCAAGCGTGGATATTCAAGTGTGGGCTCAAATTCTAGAAGTGGAGTAAAAGATTGGGGTGGGTGCAGCGCCAGGAGGCTTGAGGCTTGACATCTGGCCCTGTGTCTGTTTAATGGGAGGAGTGTCCCACGGTCAGGGAGATGTGGCACATGATAGGACATGTGGATCACACCCCCAAGGGCTCAGGGACTAAGAATTGGTGGGTGCCCACGTGCCTGTGGCCATGTACCAGGCTTCTTCACATGCTCGTGGGTCGTGCACTCATTGGGTAGCTACTTGATGAATTCCCATCGCGTGGAAAGAGACTCTGTGCTCAAACTTTTCATATAATTTCATCGACCAAATAGATCCCATGGTGGAGCATCTGGGGATGGTACGGTGATAAGACAGGCCTAGTCCCAGCCCTCGAAGGAGGGGAGCAGACAGAAATACCTGTACCAGCTTTTCAAATAAACCTCGAGGTGGGAAGGACAGTATGGCAAGAATAGTGCTGGAGGGGTTGGGTTGTTGGGGAGGAGTCTCCTTTTATAGATGTGGACATTGAGGCTCAGAGCAGTTGGCTGACTTGCCCAAGGTCACACAGCTGGAAAGTGGAAAGTCAGTTCAGGTCACACACTCCCTAATTGTGGTGGGCAGCTCTCCCCTTTCCTGTCCACTTGTTTGGACCCCAGCCCCTTGCCTCGTAGGTCCAGGATTACGAAGATGCCATTTGCAACCATGTGTCAGAGAGAGGAATTTTCTTAAATTCTAAAAGCAGAAACTATGCTTAAAAGTAGTAGTTGGCGCGGGAGTGTCATTTACGTGAGCAGCCAACCGGCGGGCACCTCTTTAGCAGCGTGTCATTTAGAAGTGATGCTTTCAGTCATTGTTGAGAATAATGCAACTTGTCTTCCCTTCCGCTCTGTGTGCTGGGAGGCTCGGGAGTGATACTCACTTACTTCCATGGGTGATTTTGTTCCTGTCGTGCGAATCAGGAGATTGTGTTACTTAGCCGACCAGGTATTTGGGAGACAGAATGTTTTGACACACACAGTGTATTTCTTTATTGTTCTCAAGTGCTAAGGTCTGATTTCCTTCCTGAGACGCCTGGGGAGAAGATGACCTGTGTTTTCACAGCACGAAACAAAGCATAAAGGGGAAGTTACCTAGTTAGTGTATCCCATCCAGAGAGCTGGGAAGAAGAGTAAAGGTTTTGTGTTGATTTGGGCCAATACGGATTTTTTTTTTTTTTTTTTAACCTATGGGGATTGGGGAGGGAGACATTTGGTCAGGACAGCTGTCATCTGTTGGGTCCCTACTGGTTCCCACCTGGCCCTGTGCCAGGCAGGTCAGGCAGGTATCCCCCTTTGTCTCAATTAGAGGGCGGGGAGGCTGTTTGAGATCACACGGACCAAGTTTTCAGCCATCCAGATGTACAGGAGGGAGGATGAAGAAAGGAGAGGGGGTGGAGACGAAAACTGTGGCTTCCCCAGAAGGGGAAGGCGGGTGTGAATCAGCAGGTGGTTAAGTTAGGGGGAGGTGGCCACGGACAGCAGGTTCTCGGTCTCGGCTGGTTTCAAAAGGGATGCGCGGAACCTCGAGCGGCGTCTCTTCCATCCATGGCCACGATGCGCAGCACACCCCCCAGGAGCGGGCCGTGTGCCAGGTGCGTGGGGCTGAGAGGCAGCACGCAGCACCCAGAGAGCGTGGCAGGACCCGGTTAGCGGCTCCGCGCTTGGAGTGGTCCGGGGGGGCCTCCATGCCCTGGCCTGACGCCTGCTATCCTGTATGTGCGTTGACACCTGCCAGGTGCTTGGAGCAGTGCCTGGCACCCAGTAGGCACTCAAGAAACATTGGCTCTTGGGGTATTCTTGAGCTCTAGAGCTCATAACCA